CCCCCCCCACCTCCAGGGTCTTAAAGGGTACCTGGCAGCACTGGGCTCCTCCGGACAGTTTCCGACTGGGGTTGAGCCCCACCCCCCGCATCCAGCTACTCAAAGTGCTGGGAGTGCTGCAGGCTGCAGGGAGAAAGCAAGCAGAGAGAACTTTGGGGGACAGGGTAGGGAGAGAGGGGTACCCAGGGCTTTAAGAGCTGCAGATGCCTGGCTTAGGAATCTGGGCAGGTGGTTTCACCTCTAGAACTCTGCTAAGCTTCTCTTCCTCCTGCCTGTTAATATCAGGCCTGACTCACGATTGGTCACACTGGCAGCCAAATGTACGAATTAAGAATCCCGGCCAGGTGCGGTGGCTCATCCCTGTAATCCTAGCAGTATGTGGGGCGGAGGCGGGAGGATTGCTTGAGCCCAGGAGTTTGAGACTAGCCTGGACAACATGGTGAAACCCCATCTCTACAAAAAATACCAAAGTTAGCCAGGCGCGTTGGCGCCCGTGGTTACAGCTACTCAGGAGGCTGAGGCAGGAGAATCACCTGAGCCTGGGTAGGTTGAGGCTGCAGTGAGCTGTGATGGCATCACTGCACTTCAGCCTGGGCAACATGTGAGACCTCGGTTTTGTTTTGTTTTGTTTTGTTTTTTTTGAGACTGAGTCTCACTCTCTCTCCCAGTCTGGAGTACAGTGGCACCATCTCCGCTCACTGCAAGCTCCGCCTCCAGGGTTTACGCCATTCTCCTACCTCAGCCTCCCGAGTAGCTGGGACTACAGGCGTCCGCCACCTCGCCCGGCGAATATTTTGTGTTTTTAGTAGAGACGGGGTTTCACCGTGTTAGCCAGGATGCTCTCTATCTCCTGACCTTGTGATCCGCCTGCCTCGGCCTCCTAAAGTGCTGGGATTACAGACGTGAGCCACCACGTCCAGCCCCAGAGACCTCTTTTCTACAAAAAATCAAAAACTTAGCTGGGCTTTTGGAGGCTGAGGCAGGAGGATCACTTGAGCCCAGGAAGATTGAGGCTGCCGTGAGCCATGATCACACCACTGCACTCTAGCCTGGGAGAGAGAGCAAGAGACTCTGTCTCTAGAGGGACTGCACTCTAGCCTGGTGATAGAGCTCACCTGCAACCCATGAGTAGCCACTCCCCTTCCTCCACACCAGGCCCCTGGCCTCCAGCCATTCACTGTCTGTCTCTACGGGTTGGCCTGTTCTGGGCATTTCATGGAAATGGGGTCTCTGTGGCCTTTTGTGTCTGGCCCCTTTCATTTGGCATGGTGTTTCTGAGGTGTTGCAGCCTGGAGTCGCCCCTCTCTCCACACTCTCCTGACTGCTCCCATTAGGACTTCAACCCCAACCCCCACATCACTTCCACACTGGTAAATCCAGAGGTGTGACCCCAGGCCCCGCTTCCTTCACCTGACCACAGCGTTTGACACCGACGTTCCCTCCCCGCCTTGTCGCCCCCGTCTCTGGCTGCTCTGCTCTCCCTGACTCTGGCTCCTCTTTGCCCAAACACCTCAGACTTTTCTCCATCTCCACTCACTCGCCGGTGAATTCCTCCAATCTCACAGCCTGAGCTAACCTGTCTGTGCACCAGTGACTCCCCAAATTGCTTTCCCTGAGCTCCAGACTCGTGTCCAACTGCTTACCCTGCATCTTCCCTGACACCTCAGAATCAAGGTGTCCGAAAGAGAGGTGTTCCTGAGCGCCTCCCAGAACCTACTCCCCTGCACTGCCGCCGCCTGCTCCGGGCATCTCGAACCCACATCCTCCCAGCCGTCTTCAAGTCAGCCTTTCTCTCACATCACAAACCCCAATCCGTGAAGCAATCTATTGGCTCACTCTTCAAAGCATCTCCAGAGTCCCCCGCTTCTCCACACCTCCATCAACTCCCGTCTTGTGCAGGCCACCATCATCTCCTACCTGGGTTCCTGCAGCCGCCTCCACCCTGTCCTCCAGGCGCCCACTCTTGCCCCCTCTACATCCTCCACGCCCCAGCCAGAGGCAGCCTCTTCACACATAAATCAGTCCCCATTATTCTTCTGCTCCAAACCCTCCAGCTTGCTCAGAGTCAAAGCCAAAGTTCCTAAAATTGTCTGCAAAGTCCTCCGTGATGGGCGTCCCCCTGCTGCGCCTCTGACCGAGTTTCCACCCTGGGATCCCCGTGGTCCAGCACATTACAAACACTCCTGCCCCAGGGACTTTGCAGTGGCCATTCCTTCTGCTGGCATGCTTTCCCTGCAGATGGCCTCATGGCTTCCTCCGTCCTCTCCTCCAAGTCTTCACACAAACCACTCCAGCTCAATGAGGCCTCCCTAGACCACCTGGGCTGTGGTGGGGGCTGTCCTGTGCACTATAGGATGCTGAGCGGCATCCCTGGTCTCTACCTGCTAGAAGCCAGGAGCACATCCCACCACCACCAGCCCCATGGTCAGACGCTGTATCCTCACTGCCTAGAACAATGCCTGGCACAGAGTCGGCACTCACTATGTATCAGAGTGAAAGGGGGCCGAGCGTGGTGGCTCACGCCTGTAATCCCAGCACTTTGGGAGGCCAAGGCGGGCAGATCACTTGAGGTCAGGTTCAAGAACAGCCTGGCCAACATGGTGAAACCCCGTCTCTACTAAAAATACAAAAATTAGCCGGGCATAGTGACACACGCCTGTAATCCCAGCTACGCAGGATGCCAGGAGGTGGAGGTTGCAGTGAGCCAAGATCATACCACTGCACTCCAGCCTGGGTGACAGAGTGAGACCCTGTCAAAAAAAAAAAAAAAAAAAAAAAAGGAAAGGAGGGAGTGATCGTCTCTATCTCATAAACAGCAGAGCTCACAGTAAATGCTAGCTGCTAACCCCCGCTACCTGGGTGGAAGGTTAAAGACACCCGATTCCTCCTGTATTTCCTCTGCCTTGGTGGCCGTGTTCCTCACAGTTTCAAGTTCTAAGAGCATGGGCAAAAGAATTTCTGAAGACGACCCCACAGTGGCCAGGGGGTGCTGGGCTGGCATCTTCACGGGCTCCTCCGACAGTCTCTTGGGCTGCTGGGACGCCTTGGCTGTGGCCTCCGTCTTTGAGATGGGGGTCTCCGAGAGGGGGGATGGCAGTAAGCCCTCCCACCGTGAGGCGGGCAGGGGAATAGGCGCCTGGGAGATTCCTTCCCTCTTGGGACTGGCAGAGGTGGGCTTGGAGCGAAGGGGCACCTTGGGCGGCCCCTCGGGGTCCCAGGGTGACCCTTTACTCTCGCCCCATTGCCGCTTGCCCTCCTTCACCCAAGTGTGCGACTCTGGCTGTTCTCTGACCACCACTGGCTTCCCCTCCGGTGAGGACAGCTGGCCTGGGTGGAAGGGCATTGAAGCCATCATTGACGTGGCAGACGCCTGCGAAGTCGCCAAGAGCCAGGAGGGAAGTGAGACCAGAGAGGGTTTCACGCGCTGCTCTTTGGAGTTGGCCAGGATCGTGAGCTTGGCGAGGGTGAGCGTTTCCACGGAGAAGGGCCTGCTGAGCTCCTGGGAGGGGCCCTCGACGGCCAGCTCCTTTGTCTCGACCCATCTCTTCCGCTGCTCCAGCTCCTTGGATCTCGCGCCAGGCGGGTCCAGGGACCTCTCTTCAAGCTTCGCCAAGTGGGCCCGGTCCTCCAACTTCCCCTGGCCCCTGAAGGCCTCCAGGGTCACCTCCTGGGTTTTGCTAACCAGGATGTCCTTGGACTCCTTCTTGGTCACGGTGAAGGGCGACTCCAGGGACTTGACCTGAGTCGTCATCACCACATCTGTCTCCTGGGTGCCCACCGTCACCGCTGGCTCCGGTTTCCCTCCAGACGGGCTTCTCTCCAGCGCAGCTCTTCCAGGAATTCCTGTTGGCAACACGTCGCCAGGGAGCCTCCCCCGTGAGGCAGGCGAGCCCGGTGCCATCTGGTATTGGGGAGGTGAGGTCTGCAGAGCCTTTTGGGACGGGGCAGGGAGAAGCAGAGATTTCCTCTTTGGAGCAGTGGGGCACACAGCCTTCTGGGGAATGGTGGGTACAGATGGGGCCTTCTGAGATGGGGGTGGGGCCTTCTGGGGTGGGGCAGGTACGGCTGAGGCCTTCCAGGGAGGAGCTGATGCAGCTGAGACCTTCTGGGGAGGAGCCAATCCAGGTGGGGGCTTCTGTGATGAAGCAGGTACAGCTGGGAGCATCTGGGACTGGTCAACGAGGAATGGTGCCTTGCAAGATGTGACAGGGCCCGTCTGGCAGGGTGGTGGCCCCCGCCCCTGGTGGGAGCCCATAGACCTGGCCTTTTCCCTGCCCCTGGGGATGGAAGAGTAGGGTGTGGAGAGGCGGGCAGCCGGGGGATAGGGAGCCAGGCCGGAGGCAGCAGATGACAAAGTGCTGCTCTCAGAATCCATGAGGTCTTCCATGTCCTGATGCCACAGGCACGGGTCCAGGGAGCTGCCGGAGCCCAGAAAGAAGCAATCAGGGCTGTCAGCTGAGACACAGTACGAAGGGCTCTCAAACACAGGTCGCTGGCCTGTGGCCTCCTCAGATGCAGATGTGCAGGCCTGTAGATGGACAGAGGGGAGAGGATGCATGGTCAGGATGCATGGAGACCCCAGACC